AATGGCATTCCTCCAAGATTTGCCGTAGGTCTCTACTACTTCCCGCCGGAACAGTATGAATTAACTTCGCGCTGTAGTTAGAGCTTTAATTTGAACAAAATGTCATCTCAATGTAGTTTTGATGGGACAAAATTTCAAAATTTTGGGTGTTCATTAAAATGTGTAGTTACAGCAGACAAGTGCTAAGTTGAATGAAAATAGAAATTCTCAGAGCATGCAGTAAATTATGCAGCGTTCTAACACGAAAAAAATATGAACAATCCTGTAGTCCAGTGCATGGTATACAGTTGACTTTCTGTTTCTGGTTTTATATGTGTTAATTTGAAGTTCATTATTTTTAGATTGGTGAAATATTATTCTTTTCAAATAATATTTTTATATAACATGTTCTAAATAAAAAAAAAGGTGAGGCTAACCACCACCACCTCTTATAATGTGCTCCTCTAATATCTTCACAGCCAAATAAAATATGGTCCATTGTTGTGAAAATACTATAAAAAGAACTATCATCAAAGATGAAAGATAAAAAATGAACTCAGTGATAAATAATTTTTCTCTAAGAATTAAAAAGGTTTATATTTTAATGTTTTGTAGTGTTCCTCATAGGAGCATTTTGTGCTTCTTAAAATCACTCAACCATCACACATACCACAATGCATGTTGAATGAACCAATATCTACTTAAAAAATGCCTTGTGTAAATAGTGAGCCAAATAGGCTCCCTGGATCAAAACATCTCCTTCATTTTTAATCCTAAAGAGTTTCAACAAATCTCATCCATTTCTTTGTATTGGTAGTTGCATAGGTCTGGAGGAAAGATATGCGAGTAAAAATCTGCATCTTTATATAAAAATTTAATTATCATTTAAATATTATTTTTGTTAATGAGATACACTGATTAAAGACAACACATCTTGCTTCCTTAGCAAATATTTATGATTATCATTAACAGGTTCCACATAAATTGTTTTATGAATGAGCGACCATAAATTTAATCTCATGTTGAATATGATATTATCTTTAAATCACAAACAATGAATCGAGTGTGAATGAGAAGAGAGAGAGAGAGATAGAGAGGAGAGAGATGAACAATTTGGATGCGTCAATAGTATCTATTATTCATAGAATGCTTCCCATATTTATATAAAAGATATTATAATGCTGATATTACATTTTAAGTTGGGTGCAATACGACTCATTCTTAATTTTCCTTGAGCCATTCCTTGTTTGATTTGACTTGCTTTCATAATTTTCACTTAAGCGTTGTGACATACAATTTGCCGAAGTCCTAGGCTGACATTCCCATCAAGAGTTTGGTTCACTCAGTCTTTTGGAAATCGAAAGGACAACACTGAGCGGAGGATGAGAAGAGGGAAAAGTTCATCTTGAATAAGAAGAAAACTGCGATCCCACGATTGGATTAGGTGGTATCAGATGATTCGATCCTCGGCGCAGCATGGAGGCACGTCCAACTTACTTAACTGGCCTTCAATTGAACCACTCAACCTTTCATTGCAACTTAAATATCTTCGTTCTATGTCATTTATAATATTTGAGTTAAAACGGCTCGTGGGTACGACATAATTTTTACTTTTTTGTGGCATCTAATTTTTTTAAGTCTTTCCTTTAAATTTTATGATGAATCTTATGGCAAATGATCCAGCTCTGATAGACCTGGAAAACGGACAGATGGGGGGCTCAAGTGGACGCAGACTAGGTGTCAGGCTGAAACGGTATCATCTTAGGCAAGGTTGGCAGATTGATTGCTTAGATAACCCTCTTAAGAAAGGCAAGGAAGCAGATTATGGGCCCCAAACATCTCATGGATCATTGGCTCATTTTCTCGATAAAATTGAGAATTCCATCACTCGGTTGGCTATGATTTAATTAGATGAGGATATGCATGAGCTATTGGCTCATATGGAGTGGATTGAAAAGATATTGGCTAATCTTCATCAAGAGCATCAGATATCTGGGGTAGATCCCTGACCTTCCAAGCGTAAGCCGAGTTAGATTAGTTGAATCAGTTTAGGTCTGGAGGGGAAATTTATGTTGGAGGTTACTTCGGTTGCCTGTGTCTCGCTGAAGTGGTCCTAGATCCCCTTGTAAATAATTTTGCCTCATATTAATGTTTGAACATTTTGTTGTACTTTAAAGAAATATCTAAATAAAAATATTTCTCGTCTCATTTCTTGTGTTGATGTAATTTAGCTAATAACTTTTTAAGGAAAAGTTACACTACAGGAATTAAGCATATGCATCAAACATACCAATCACAGATTAGATGCAAATCCAAAACTATTTAAGTATTATCATCGCATTGGAGTCCGATTTACATCTGAATTTTTCTAACGTTAATTTGTAGGTCGGTAATATTATTTCCGTCCACTGCACATCAAAATTTTTTGATGCAAATAATATGCATCGATTTTTATGTCGTATTTGTTTATATAAAACATACATCAAAATTTGCATAACAAATTATTAGATGATGATTATTAGCGTTGGATTACCATCTCCTTCGCGTAGAAAAATACCTTAGGATGATGAAACATTAGTGTAGATAAAAGGTTTGATTTTGCGTCCAAAAATAGATTCAAATTCAATGCTAATATATAAAATAGAAAAAATTTAGAATATCAAGTACATTTCCACAATATGCACAAAAACCAATTCCATAACCAACATCACATACAACATTAAGTATAGTCATATCTCAGATAAAATTTTTAAATAATATCATTAATAAATGAAAGATACTGTTACAAATCATTCTAAATAAAAAAAATAATATTAATCCAAAAAATTCCACAACAAATGTTCAATACATTTCTTACAAATAAAATAAAATAAAATAAAATACTCATCATCTCCATCCTCCTCCTCCTCCTTCTGCACGAATGTCCGCTTGCCCTGGCTATCTGTGAAGGTCTCCGCTATGCGCAATGTAGAGTGCTTGACTCTAGGTTGGACTTCTAGCATCTGCTCGCATAACTGATGGATCCCTTCGTTCATTGCAGCCACACAACTTGCGAGAGTCTCCTTATTTGGTATTGAGGAGCTTGGGGAAATAAGAATTGACCTCAAAGGCTATGCTCTTGGTGCCAATGTTATAAACTCTTCCCTTCTTCCTCCCTACAGCATTGGCCCAAAGTTCGTACTCAAACAACGTACCGGTAGACTGACTACCACTACTACTGCCAGAAGTTTGAGCTCGAGAGGCTTAAGTGTTTTTCCCTGAGCTACTCGAACTACTCATATATGATGAATATTAGTTTTTAACTGACACTTTCAACTGTTGGAGTCAGAATAAACAGTTAATTCAAGGTTTTTAACTTACAGTAACTCACTATAAATGCTCCGAGACGTACTGCAAAGTCTTTGGGTGTCAATGGGAACTGACATGCAGCTCTGCAACAGAGAGTGTACAATATAACTCCTTAGCCAGTGTAACATACAAAAATGGTTAGGGCTAAAAACTTACTCCAAAAATTAAATTAATAATTAAATGTCTAAAAAATTTTATCAGCCACATATAGTGCTCCATAAGGGGTCCCGAAGCCTCTCACCAATCCAGAAAAGTCATTCACACCTCCACCAAGCTATCGTGAACAAGTCGAGAAGGCGAAGATTGCCTTAAATCTTGAAGATTCAGCACATCTATTGGTTGTTCTTTGGGAGTCAGGTGAAGAACCTCTGTAACTTAAAAAATAATCCATGTGTTAGTATATAAAATTAAATTAAATTAATATAACGAATCAAATTAAATTTACATGATCGTACCTCAAATTTCCTGAACCACATGTCACGACTGGCTACAACTATCTGTTTCCATGACGGATAGGGCTCATCATACCTACTCCTAACAACCATTTGTGATTCAAGTGAAGGGCATCTTGTGAGGAATAAGTATGCTTAAGAAACATATCAGTTACCAAAAAAACATAATAACATGAAGAATAAAGATAATACAATGTTAAAATTAACTTACCACTCCCCCTATCAAAATAACTTAACATTACCCTAAGGAGACGAGTCAGTGGGCTAAGCTCAAGAGCTATGCAAGGAGTCAGTGGGGGAGTAGGTACAGAACCAGTAGACATCATATGAGATGAGGCAACATCGTGTGTGGGTGCAGGTGCTACAGAAAGGGTGGCAATAATGGAGGCGAGAGGAGGTGCCACAAAAAGTGTAGCAGCAGTGTGGAAGAGGTGCCACATAAGGTGTAACAACAACAGTTGGGGGAGGAGATGCAAGGGGAGGTGTTGAAATAGTGGAAGCAACAATAAGAGTAGATGAAAACCTCTTCCTGCTATATATGGGTCTATGAGGTGGCTGATCACCTGTACCACCCATGGCCATTTGCAAACAAAGGTGACATTAAATATATTAGTACTAGAGGGAAAAATAATCATAAGTAGAAAGAAAAGATGCAACAAAGGGAAGAAATAAGTAGCAGCTATGTCTACAAAAAGGAAAAGTGAGAGTAAGAGCTACGCCTCATTACAACAAAAATAAAAAGATA